TGTCATGTGTCGTGGCTGCCGGTTGGGTCGCGGTGGTCGGTCATGTGTCACGGACTTGGGCTGGTCGCAATCGGCCGGTTCTCCGCGGCAGTCGGCAATCGTCAGGCGGGGCTGGGGTCGGTGATCCTCGGCCTTCAGGTCATGGTTCTTCGGCTCCGGTAGATGATCACTGGGTCTCGATTACCTTCGGGATCTTCTACTGTATTACTCACACACCTCTTCAACTCGTATCGGTGGAACAACGAGAAGAAAATAAAGCTCGAATGAGGACTGAAACAAAGATATATGGGGCGGCTTTTTCACGTGTGGAATAAACAAATGGATATCTTCTCATGAGCTTAATGATTTATATATATAGAGCTACAGTACGGACCCTTAAGAGATTAGAAATAGGACTTCTTAATTAATTAGACTAACTGTGGGCCAAACCCACTCCTCCACTTAATTAAATAATATTATGGGCCACTAACATAATATTATTGCACTCCCTTTTTCCTAGCCCAAAGTACATTTGAGGCTCCAATTATAATTACCTGATTTACCTCCCCATGTTTAAGATATAATGTTCATTAATTAATTCGATTACTAACAATCAAGAATTAATTAATATATTATTATTTCACCGAAGCTAGCGCTCGTTCATCACATTATTATTATGCCAGAACTTAATCCACCTGCAGGGTTCACCATAACAATCCTTCATGAACTCACTTCGGGGACATCATAAAACTAAACGTACAAGCAGCTATTACCTTTATTAGTTGCAGGGTTTAAATTTCGTATATAATATATTGAAAAAAATAAAAGTAAAAATTATTTAAAATTAACAATAAAAAAAATAATTATTCATAACTTACGAGTCAGTATTAACTTTGACGTCAATGTCATAGTCATGATTTAGAGGTTAATAAATAACTCAACTACTTAAATTTTGATTTGAATAGTTTATACAAAAATAAATTATTTTAAGTAATGAAACTATATAAATTTTATATTTATACTTTTTATTCACATACCTTGTTATAAAATTTATCAAAACAACTATGTTATGGAATCACATTATAGTCAAATTGAATTTCTGAATAAAATTTTTGAAAACGGACTTCTTTTGAAAGGAACGTAACGTAATTTATTATCAGTTTTGTGCACCGCACGGGTTGTGTACTAATTTTAAATAGACATTTTTTTATGTAATTTTGTACAATTTAAACTTTATATAACATTTTCAATAAATTAATATAGGTAAATTGTATTAAATATTGATTTCATATTTTTAATTTATAAATATTATTTAGTAAGAATTTTTAACTTATAAATATTAATAAATATCTCTTATCGGTGCACTGCACGGGATTCATACTAGTTATACTTAATAGGGTGTATTAATCTTAAAGTAAAAAATATTAATGATAAATTTTGTAACCAAAAATGGAGGGAAGCTAAATAATTTTATTAAATGTTATGCCAACAATTATATATATATATATATATATATATATATAATCGTGAAATCTCTCTCGCGAAAAGCAAAAACCCTATCGCCGACTGCTATCTTTTTTGCATCGTTTTGCCTTTCCCACCGACGGCGCGGCTACGGCCCGCTGTCGCCCTTGATCGCTCGTCCCTCCCCCTGTCTCCTCGGTCGTCTGCTGTTGCTGTGGTGAATCGGAGCTATATGGTCTGCCCCTGCCCTTGGTCACCGGCGAAATAGCGATTGTTGGTGGTGAGCTCCTTGGTCGGCGATTTGTCTGGTGATTGGTGGTGTCGATTACCGGCGGGTCTCAATTGGAGGTGGTTGGCCTCTAAATCTGAAATGCCGTGATTGGAAAGCTCCCCTCGGGCGGCTCCGCTTCCCCATTAGGGCTCGGATGGGGCTTTTCGTTTTGGTTGTCGACGGACTGCGGTGAGGGTCGGTCGGAGGGTCAGCAGGTGGGGCGGGGCTTCGACGGCTGTGGCCTCTTTCGTCGGAGAAGCCGGAGTTATAGGACATAATCGCTCTCTCCCTCTCCCCTCGGTTCTCTGGTGTTGGGCTCGGGTGGGGTCCGGAGCACCCGAGTTTGACTAGTGGTGTGAGATGAATTCGAGTAGTAAAGGTGCGGGAGTTGGTGTCGTCGTTCTCTCGGTCGGGGGCTGATCGTTTTGGGGCTAGGCTTAGGACCCATGTTCGGGCTTCTGTATAGGCGGTTTCGCAGTTTTGGTAGTTGTTCTTGGGCTCGGGATCTTCCTTGGATCGATTGTTCTCTGCTGGCTGAGCTCGTTTGTTAGCTGGAGAAGGGCTTGAATGTGGATATTTTGTTTGTTTAGGTCCTATGTTTTGGTTTGGTCGTTGGCCCTTGTGAGCTCGAGTGTCAACTTACTATCCTGTTGGGATTAGACACTCGGGTATTATCCTGGTGGGATCTTTTTTAGTTGTTTCTGTTTGTTTGTGTAGTTGCGAGTGTTTTCTTCTAGCTTTGCTAGCGTCGGGATTCTAGGCGGTCTTCTAATTTGTCTTCCCACTTTTTTAGCTGTTGGCTGCTCAGCTAGGGGCTGTGTATTCGCACATTATAGGGGTGGGCAAAAAAACCGAATTTTCCGGTACCGAACTGGACCGAAATGATCCCGTCCAGAAAAATAGGGTTCCAAATGGGTTTTCTAAGGTTCGTACCGTTCTCGGTACCGAACCGTTTGAAACAATGTCGGTATTGGTTTTGAATATTTTTGTACCGAACCGTCCCGTTTGTCCCGTTTTATTTTTTTTGTACAAAAATATTATATATATATATATATATACACACATATATATAGGGGACAGATCCAATAAGACCACTCCTTAAAATGAGTACGTGAGACTCAATCTTAGCCACTCATTTTGTCTAGATCAAAATTAATTAAAATATACATTAATTGAATAATAAAATAATTATTAGTTGACTCCGGCTTTGACCGTTGACTTTCGGTGAAAATTGTTGACTTCCGGCGTTGACCGTTGACTTCTGGCGTTGACCGTTGACAACTAACCTAGCAGCAAGAAATAAATGTCCTAGCTATAAAAGATAACTAACCTAGCAGCAAAAAAGAAATAACCTAGGAATAAAATACAACTAACTTAGCAGCATCAGACAACTAACCTAGCAGCAAGAAAGAAATAACCTAGCAACAAAATACAACTAACTTAACAGTATCAGACAACTAACCTAGCAACAAAACACACACACCGAGAGGGATCTCCTTCCCCTCTCGGTGTGTGTGTTGTTCTGAGACTGGACGCCATGAGACTGAGACCTTTACCCACCTTTTTCTAGAGAGTGAGATTGTGAGGAGAGTGTGGGAGCATTTTGCCACTTGGACTCATATATCCCTACCCACCACATACAGTTTTTTTGAGCTCCTGAGTTTTTTCTCACAGAGCACACACTTTAGACACGTGGGCTTCCTCATTCCTTGTCTGATCCTTTGGTTCACCTGGACAAAAAGGAATAGTGCGAAGCATAGGGATACTACTTTTATGTTTTCTCACATTGTTTTGCAGGTAGAGAGACACATTTCACTCCTCATCGCATTGGGCAAACTCACGGCCCGAGACTGGACAGGCTGCACGCCACCGCATCGCTACATGGTGGCCCCACCACCGCCTGTTCGGCCTCCTCGGGCCAGAGCTGTTGTTTGGCTTCGACCTGACTCTCCGTGGGTCAAGCTGAACACTGATGGCTCCTTTGATCGCCACACTGGACTTGCCGGAGGAGGAGGCTTGATCCGGGACCATAGCGGCGCCCTCATCACTGCCTTCCACGCATCCATTCAGGCCTCCTCGAGCTACGATGCAGAGATTCAGGCACTACATATTGGCCTTCAAATTGCTGTCCACCTCTCTGGTCATATATGGATCGAGCTGGATACTGCGGCTGTCGCCACCCTCTTGACTTCGGGCCATCAGGGCTCGTGGCAGATTCAGCACCCGCTTATGCGCATTAGAGATCTACTTCGGTCAGTCCATCACAGGATCACACACATACATTCCAGACTGACACTGCTCTACTCCGCCTTCGCACCCTTGTACGGATGGACCAGCTTGGATATCCAGCGTTCCGCTTTCACTAGTTTAGGATTTCTGTTTTCATTAGTATAGACATTTATTTCGGGCATCTGTTAACCCGAAGATCGGCTTTGTTTTGTAGGTTTTGTTTCTTTTTCGTTTTTCACTTTTCTTTTTTGTTCTTCTTTTGGTTTTGATTTTGCTTGTGAGACTCCATAGACTTTTGTATCTTGTTCGCTGACATTTTGGGCTCCCGTTGTTGGGGCCCTATGCACAGGTTGGGGATCCAGCCCAATCCCCCGCCCTTCCGGGGCGTTGTTTGAAAAAAAAAAAAAAACCTAGCAGCAAGAAAGAACTAACCTAGCAGCAAGAAAGAAATACTCTAGCAACAAAAGACAACTAACCTAGCAGCAAGAAAGAAATAACCTAGCAACAAAAGACAACTAACCTAGCAGCAAGAAAGAAATAATCTAGCAACAAAAGACAACTAACCTAGCAGCATCAGACAACTAACTAGCAGCAAGAAAGAACTAACCTAGCAACAAAAAACAACTAACCTAACAACAAAACACAACTAACCTAGCAGCTACAGATAACTAACCTAGCAACAAAAGACAACTAACCTAGCAGCAAGAAAGAAATAACCTATCAACTTAAGACAACTAACCTAGCAACAAAACTTAACTAACCTAGCAGCTACAATTAACTAACCTAGCAACAACAGACAACTAACCTAGCAACAAAACACAACTAACCTAGCAGCTAAAGATAACTAACCTAGCAACAAAAGACGCTAAATGCTCTCCCTTCTCTCTAACTTTCTCTCTCTACAAACCCATCTTCCCCATTTGCCCACCATTTCTCAGTTCAAATTTCCGACTCATAGCTGTTCGCCGGCGGGCGGCGAGCCGCCTGACGTCCCTTCACCTACCTCCCTCTTATCCGGTCCCAGTTCATCCATATATGGCCCCGATCCCGATTCCTCCTACACCTCCGTTTCTGCGAATTCAGCCCACACAATCGGAACAATCTTCCCTCCGATCTCCTCTTCCTCAACCTACATCACCGGTAGTCAACCCCGACCTTGCTTCTTTGATTTCAATGGAAGTGACGAAAGCCCTTCAAAAACTCCTAACGCCGAGCTCAAATTTGGAGGAGGGAAAAATACCTCCGCAGGTCACCCGTGTTGCCCCGTCGCCGGAATGGCAGTCCCTAATCTCCGACTGAATGAAAGACATTGTCCGGTGACGTTTGGGTCCTTGCCGTCGGAAGCTCTCCCATCGGTCAACCCTAACACAGTTGCTGCAGACGGCGTCACAGGGAATCCTTCCCCTCAGCTCCCCGATGACGTGGCTTCGATCTCAACCCTCCACGAGATTAATCCCAATTCCCTCAGCTTTCCCTCAACTATCGGATCTGGACCCAATTCCCTCATCAAACTTCCCAGGCCCATATCACAACCTCATACTGGCATTTCAACTGGGCCCAATCTTCCCAAGCCCAGGCCGCGACCAAACCAACCCACACCAGACAACCGCAAAACCAACCTAAGCCCAGACACAATCCAGCCATCTCAGCCCTCAACCCACATCTCACGGGCCCTCAGCTTTCTGGCCCACCACCTGCCACACCCCTCCTCAACCCAGCCCGGACCCTCTCAACCCGCACCCAACCAAATCAGCTCCATCCCGTCACCTGCAACATCCAACTTGCTGACGTCGTCCACCCGGCAGCAGCCGCCGATCACCTGCCTCACGCCGGCGCCGACGCCGTCACGGCAGCCGGAATACCTAAAACGGCCAGCAATCCGACCGAGGGTGCTCCCGATTTGAGTTCTTCAGCCGGAATCTTCGGATCCCGGCCAAAATCATCATCCCCCACCGAATATATCACCGGAAAAACCACCCTTGAAGCCGGAGACCGTGGAGCGGCAGTTTTGTTTGTTCGGGAAGATGGGGTGGTTGTATGAGCCCGAGTAAGACGTCCGCAGGCCATTCTACCGGACACTCTCCCATCGGGACAACGCCGAAGGGCGCCTCCACGGCCAACCTTGCTGCAGCCGGGCCACCTCCGGGCACCGCCACCGGACCGCTTTCCTTCCGAGAGGCTATTACGGGGAGGAGAGATGGCGGTACGGGCACCCCGCGGCCGACGGCCAAGGATTTCTCGTTTGACGGGAATTATGAGCATGCTTGCGGGACCATTATTCGATCAGAGGGAAACAACGTGAAGGCTCGATTCTCTCAAACCGAATCTGACAACCTTGCCGGTAAGCTAGCTAACACCATGGTTTTTAAGTTTACTTATGCTATCCCTGCCCCCTGAGATATATCTGCTGGCTTAGGTAAACTGGGCTTTAAGGGTAGAGTGTCGTCTAAGTGGTATAACTTTAACCACCTCTTATTTACGTTTCATCTCCTGAGGATTATAACGAGGTCTGGCTTAAAACCTCGATTCATTTGTGTGGATGCCCAGCTAGGGTGTTCAAATATTATATCGGGTTTAACCCGAAGACGGAAGCATTGGTGGTCCCCGTGTGGTGTCGGCTTCCCGGCCTCCCACCCCATCTTTATGATCGAGCTGCCATCACTACACTTGCTAAGTTTATTGGGCAGCCGATTCGTATCGACGCCCCGACGGCCCTTCAGACGAGGGCTAACGTGGCGCGATTTTGCGTCGAGATAGATCTGAGAGCTGAGCTCGTCCATGAAAATTAGATTGAACAGGGCTCGGAGTCCCTTGTTCAGCGGGTGATCTATGAGAAGATCCCCGCGTTCTGCACCTTGTGCAGCCATGTGGGTCATAGTGCGGCTGATTGCTACACCAGTGGCAATAAGCCACGGCCCACGCTCCTGCAGCGCCATCGTGCGGCTCAGCCAGGGCCCTTCACTGGCAGGAAGGACCCCAGGGGAAAGGGCAAAAGCCCTCTCCGTGCGCCCGAGACCCTGAAGGGGTCTAAGGATAAGGGCAAGGCTGTGATTGACGCCACTGCCCAAACTGGCAAGGATGCTCACCCTAACCAGCATAAGCAGTTGGCCATAGTTGGGCCAAAGCCCAAGTCCACGGGCTTTCTTCCTAGACAGACCCTCCAGTCGGCCTTCAAGGCCAACCACTCGTATTTTGCTGTTCTCTCCCCACATGCAGAGAATGAGGCCCAGCCTTCCACCAGTGGCCCACCTAGGATCACTGACATCACGGCTCTTGACGAGGACGACCTCTTTGTCGACGATACGGACCAGTCGGATGCCTCGTCCAGGGGCGAGTCCATCTATTTATCCGATGACAGTGCACGCGACGCTTCTCCTCTGACCGCGCGTGCATCTAGTCCGGACCGCTCTCTGGATTTGAGGGCCAATGCCGGCCCCGCTCCCTTGAAAGGGGATGAGTCGGCCACTCCTCTCTCTGCTGAGATCAGGAGCTCGGCTGAGCACATAGCCAGCCCCCCTACCTCTGGTGGCGAGCATAGGACTGCTCCGCCGGTTGGATCCTCTCTCTCTCCCATCCCCGAGCTGGCATGTGGTCTTTACCGCGCCCAGCATGACGTCTCGTGCGAGAGCTTCGCATCTAGTGCCTTCGTGCACTACGACAGACATGAGACAACCCTGGATATGGGGCAACCCGCTAGTGCCGCTCTTGGTCAGACTGCCCAGCCAGACGACACGCAGGCCACGAGCACCTACCGAGACAGGCAGTCTACGAGGAGCAGAGCCACGCAGCGCACGATGCGACGGACTGTCCCCCCTGCTATTGGATCCTTCCGCCACATTCATTCTCTAGGTAGCCCGACCCAGCCTCGCCACAGGCGGACTATGTCCAGTGGCTCTTGCGACCGTTGACATGTCTATCACATCCATTACTTGGAATGGCCGTGGCCTGGCGAATAGGGCTACTCTCTCTCACCTCCATTCTCTCATTCGTGACCACAGACTCGATTTTGTTGGCTTTATCGAGCCGATGATTCGCACCCCTTCTTTTGACTACTACTCGCGTCGCCTTGGCTTTCACTCGGGCATAAGATCTGGTTCTTTCACTCGCATGATTACACTTGTCGCGTCCTCCGTGACACCGATCAGGTGCTTCACGTTGAGCTTTCCGCTGCCCACCTCCCGGAGCCCATCTTTCACACTTTGGTTTATGCCAAGTGTACTAGGGTCGGGCGCTATGATCTTTAAGACACCCTGCCTAAGAATACCGAGAGTATGGAGGGATTTCCATGGATGGTTAGTGGCGATTTCAACATCTTTCTGCATCCCGATGAGCGTGTGGGTGGCCGCTCGGGTAGGTCATGGGAGATGTTGGATTTTGCTCAGGTGGTGGCGGACTGTGAGTTAATTGACGCTGGATGTGATGGTGAGCCCTTCACGTGGGTGAGGGACGGACTCAAAGAGAGGTTAGACCGTGCCTTAGTTTCTGAGGCGTGGGCGAAAGTGTTTGCGGTTACGACCGTCACACACCTTACTCGATTCGGGTCTGGCCATTCACCTCTTCTCATCCGGTGCCGATTTTCGAGCACCCCTCGCCGCTCTTCAATTAGGTTCCAGAACATGTGGGTTCGCCACCACTCCTTCCACGACTCTGTCAGGGATTCCTGGATTCAGCCGACTGGGCTCTTCGGGATGCGCAATCTCAAGGCAAAGCTCGGCAGACTGCAGCGTCGGTTGAGACAGTAGAACTGGGATGTTTTCAGAAACCTTCATCAGCGCCTTGCTGCGGCTCAGAGTGCACACGCGACGGCTGAGCGGGCCTATGACCTGGACCCCACTCCGGAGAATAGGACTGCCATGCACCGCTGCCACGCCGAGTACCAGCTCCGACTCCTTATGGAGGAGGACTTCTTGAAGCAGAAGGCGACCGTTCGCTGGGTGGCCGAGGGCGAGCAGAACACTAGGTTCTTCCAGGGCTACGTTAGGCAGAAGCGTGCTAAGTCGTACATCCATAGTATCGAGGCTGATGGGTCATCCTTGACCCAGGAGGCTCAGATTCGAGAGTCGGTTGTTGCTCACTTCCAGACCCTCTTCACCTCGGACAGAGGGTTCCTTGTGGCCCCGACCGCTTCTCTTTTCCCCACCATCCCTTCTTCGGTCGATCTCATTAGCCTCTGTGAGCTCCCGAGTAGGGAGGAGGTTAGGGATGCTGTATTCGGGATTGATCCCAACAGCGTTTCTGGCCCGGATGGTTTCTCCTCTCTCTTTTACCAGGTCTGCTGGGATCTAGTCGAGACTGACGTCGAGGAGGCGATGTTGGATTTTTTCTTCGGCCACCGGATGCCGGATTCTTTCACGTCTACCTCTGTCGTCTTGATCCCCAAAAGACCCAACCCGAGCTCTTGGTCCGATTACAGGCCCATCAGCTTGTGTAACATGACCAACAAGCTCATTTCGAAGATCCTTAACGGCCGTCTTTCCCCTCTTCTCCCCTCCCTCATCTCTCCGAACCAGAGTGGATTCGTCAAGGACCAGGTCATTAGTGATAACATCCTTTTGGCCCAGGAGATGATCCACGACATCTCCCGTGCGAATTGGAAGCGGGCTCCGAATATCGCGCTGAAGCTAGATATTGCTAAGGCGTATGATAGGGTAGAGTGGCCGTTTCTTAGAGAGGCCCTGGCTAGGATGGGATTTCCTGACCGTTGGATCAGCTTTGTCGAGGCGTGCGTGGAGCGCTGCACGTTCTCGGTCATGGTCAATGGCAGCCCCACCGATTTCTTTTCCTCATCTAGAGGCCTTCGACAGGGCGACCCCCTGTCCCCCTCCCTTTTCGTCCTTGCGGCGGACTACCTCTCTCGCTGCCTTGACGGTTTCATCCGCGATTTTCCTCATATGACGTATAGCACCCGTGGCTATGGTCCTTCCATCTCTCAGCTCTCTTACGCGGATGACATCATCATCTTCATCCGGGCGGATGATGATGGACTGGTCGAGCTCATGCGCCTTTTAGAGCACTATGGCTCGGTTACCGGTCAGCTGGTCAGTGTGCAGAAGAGCACATTCACCCTCTCCTCTTCCAGCGCGGCCACGTGGGCTCAGCGGGTCCACGACATTACTGGCTTTGCGCGTGGCGACCTTCCGATTACCTACCTTGGCGGCCCTTTATACAAGGGCAACCTCACGAGAGCGCTCTTTGCGGGCGTCAGGCAGAGGATGATCGACAAGATCTCTGGTTGGTCGCATAGACATCTTTCTTTCGGTGGTCGGCTTGCGCTGATCAAGAGCACGCTTAGCTCTTTTCCGATTCACTTGCTTGTGGTCCTCGACCCCCCTAGGTCTACTCTTGACGAGATAGACCAGATTATGGCTCGTTATTTCTGGGGTTACGAGGACGGTTCTTGGAGGGGGAGACGTACCCACTGGGTGAGTTGAGACTCCATCTGTCGCCCCATTCCCGAGGGTGGGCTTGGCATCCGCCGCCTCAGGGACATTGTTACAGCTTTCTCATACAAATTGTGGTGGCGCTTCAGGGAAGAAAAGTCGCTTTGGGCTCAGTACCTTCGCGGCAAGTACTGCCGTAGACGTGCCAACCACCCTTGTTGGGTGACGGCTGTTGATCATGATAGTAGGCAGTGACGGCGCCTCACTAGGGTTGGTAGGCGCGCCAAAGATCACATCTTCTGGGTTCTGGGCGAGGGCGATGTTAGTTTTTGGGATGAGTGGTGGATAGGTGATAGGCCGTTGTCTAGGGATATGCAGGTGTCGCACTCCCCCTACCTGCTTGTGAGCGACCTCTGGACGGACGGGTCGTGGGATAGGGGGAAGCTTGATAGGGAGTTGGGGTCTGGTGCGGGATTTAGCGGGCATTTATTAGATCAGATCCAGCAGATCCCTATCTCGGGGGATTGTTCAGATAGCATGAGGTGGAGAATTACATCATCGGGTGTGTTTTCTACTACCTCGGCTTGGGAGCAGATAAGGCTGAGGGATCGGCCTAATCTCCTCTTCGGGGCCATCTGGAGTGACCTTTTCACCTCTACTATTTCGGTGTTCCTTTGGCACCTCCTCTTGCATCGGATACCCGTGGATACTGTGCTACACTCGAGGGGAATCTCCTTCCCCTCTCAGTGTGTGTGTTGCTCTTAGACTGGACGCCATGAGACCGAGACCTTTACCCACCTTTTTCTAGAGATTGAGATTGTGAGGAGAGTGTGGGAGCATTTTGCCACTTGGACACATATATCCCTACCCACCACATACAGTTTCTTTGAGCTTCTGAGTTTTTTCTCACATAGCACACACCTTAGACACGTGGGCTTCCTCATTCCTTGTCTGATCCTTTGGTTCACCTAGACAGAAAGGAATAGTGCGAAGCATAGGGATATTAATTTTATGTTTTCTCACATTGTTTTGCAGGTAGAGAGACACATTTCACTCCTCATCGCATTGGGCAGTCTCACGGCCCGAGACTGGACAGGCTGCACGCCACCACATCGCTACATGGTGGCCCCACCACCGCCTGTTCGGCACCCTCGGCCTGTTGTTTGGCTTCGACCTGACTCTCCGTGGGTCAAGTTGAACACTGATGTCTCCTTTGATCGCCACACTGGAGTTGCCGGAGGAGGAGGCTTGATCCGGGACCATAGCGGCACCCTCATCACCGCCTTTCACGCGTCCCTTCAGGCCTCCTCGAGCTATGATGCGGAGATTCAGGCATTACAGATCGGCCTTCAGATTGCTGTCCACCTCTCTAGCCACATTTGGATCGAGCTAGACGCTGCGGCTGTAGCCACCCTTTTGACCTCTGGCCACCAGGGCTCGTGGCAGATTCAGCACCCGCTTATGCGTATTAGAGTTCTACTCCGGTCTGTCCATCACAGGATCACGCACATTTTCCGTGAGGGGAACAGACCTGCCGACTACCTGGCCAGCCTTAGCGCCACCATACCAGACACACATACATTTCAGACCGACACTGCTCCACTCCGTCTTCGCACTCTTGCACGGATGGACAAGCTTGGATATCTAGCATTCCGCTTTCAGTAGTTTAGGACTTTTGCTCTCATTAGTCTAGACATTTATTTCGGGCATCTGTTAGCCCGAAGATCGACTTTGTATTGTAGTTTCTGTTTGTTTTTCGTTTTTCGGCTTTTCTTTTTTGTTTCTTCTTTTGCTATTGATTTTGATTAGTGAGACTCTGTAGACTTTTGTATCTTGCTCGTTGATATTGTGGGCCCCGATTTTGGGGCCCTGATCTATGCACAGGTTGGGGATCCAGCCCAATCCCCCGCCCTTCCGGGGCGTTGTTTGATTAAAAAAAAAAACCTAGCAACAAAAGACAACTAACCTAGCAGCACGAAAGAAATAACCTAGCAACAAAAGACAACTAACCTAGCAGCAAGAAAGAACTAACCTAGCAACAAAAGACAACTAACCTAGCAACAAGAAAAAAATAACATTGCAACTTAAGACAACTAACCTAGCAACAAAATTCAACCAACCTAGCAGCTACAAATAACTAACCTAGCAACAAAACACAACTAACCTAGCAAAAAAGAAATAACATAACAATAAAAGACAAATGATCAACGGTCAACGCAGGAAGTCAACGCCGGAGTCAACGGTCAATGCTGGAAGTCAACGGTAAATGTCAAAAGTCAACGATTTTTGCCGGAAGTCGACGCAGGAAGTCAACGGTCAACGCCGGAGTCAACGATCAATGCCGGAGTCAACGGTCAATGGTCATAATAATATTTAAATAATTAAAAATAAAGAATTATATTTAAATCAAGATCTAAATCTTGTGGCTAGGAATGAGTCTCACGTCCTCACATTAAATAATCGGATGCATTTGAACCAATCTATATATATATATATTGGTAAGAGATCATATGAGAATGACTCATAATGCGAGAAATGAGAATGAACCTGGATTATTGGATCCACTACTTCAATGGTCATGATGAAGTCAAAATTAATTAAAAATAGTCAATCATTAATGGTATTGTGTTAATTATTTGATCATAGTGGGTCAAATATGTACATTTGGCCAATAAATAAGGGTAAGTTGGTCAATACACATATATTTATGTGGGACCCACGCACCATTTAAATATATATTTTCTCTCTCATTAATACATCATCTTCCTCCTCACGATTTTGCAACACACACACACACGCACGGCCTCCAGCCTCCGCCTTCCTCCGTCGTGCCTTCGCCGTGACTCTGCCATCAGACGCCAATGGCGACGCAGGAGATGAGGATCGTGTATCCGTCGCCCGCCGCCAACCGCGACGCAAGAGATGACGGCCGTGTAACCGCTGCCCGCCGCCAACCGCGACGCAGGAGACGACGGAGTGCCTTCGTCGTGCATCGACAACTAGTCTTGTCGGCATCTTTCCGCCGATATTCTCAGAGCCGGTCGCCGTTGGCCGCATCGAGCTCATTTGAGATGGTGCCGCTCCCGCATTATCTTCCTCAGAAGGTGCCAACGAGTGGACCTACGAGGCAGAAGCAGACTTCAGAGACGAGCACTTGTCGTCGGAATACACGGTGCCGCCTCATTGGGTGATTGGGGACGTTTTAAGGTTTATGTGATTTGGGGCTGAGCACGGTCTACATCGTGGCGGCGGGGATGGCGGCGGTGGGGGCAGCATGACGGTGAGTTTGTCATCTGGCGGTGTGGGCAGGGAATGGATCTGAGAGGGGAAGCCATGGATCTAGATGGTGTTTTTGGTATTGGGGTCTTCTTTTGAAAATTAGATAGGGTTAAAGGGCCAACTTGTAATTTATGAACTTTTATTATAAGCATATTATAATACTTGATGCAAATTTATAATTTAATGAAAGATTATTTCATGCACAATAATGACAAATGCGATGCATAATATTGTGTATAGATGTGCATTTAAAAAAAAAATTGTCATCTTTATATGAATTTTTTTTTTTATTAAATACTCATATTTTTTTTATAAGTGAATTGCACAATATTTTTGTGTAGATATGAGATTTAAAATCAAAGCATATAATCGAATCGAAATATAAAAGTTCAAATCGAAAAATTTTCTCTATTGTGTAATATGATAACCATTAATGTGTAATTCATCAAATGATATTTAATATTATTGTGCATTTTGTATATCAACACAATAATTATATATATGATCATATAAATTAGTGCACTTTATATATATATCAACACAATAATTAGGTGCGGGTCGGTTACTCGGATTGTTTTGCGGCTTGGGTCATCGTCTTGCTAGGCCTTATGCAGTGGCGGGCGTAGTATCAGAGCTTCGGAGCTCTCCTCGGAATCGGCTTTGTCTGCTGTTCTTTTTGGGTGTATATGCTGAGGGAGGCGTTGTGTGTTTTAGTATGTAGTGTTTGTTTTCCGTATGTTCAGTTTGTTTGTTCTTGTTTTGTTTTGTGTTATCTGTGTTTTAGGTTTGGGCCGTTGGCCTCAGTTTGCCCGAGTGTGACTTGATTATCCTGTTGGGACCGAACACTTGGGCATTACCCTGTTGGGAACGTTGTAATTTTCTATGGTTTTGGTGTCATTGTGTTTTTTGAGTTTTTAGATTACCCCGTTGGAGTCGGTTCTAGGCAGTCTTTTGGCTGTCCTCCCAGTTTTTCAGTTGTTGGCTGTTTGTATTCAGCCGTTGGCTGTATGTATTCAGCTAGGGGTTGTACTTTAGCACATTTGTGCTTTTATATAATATCTCTATCGTTTTGAAAAAAAATATATATATCAACACAATGCACTTTATAAGACAACACGATGCACTTTATAAAACACCACATTGAACTTTATCGAAACTACAATAGTTCGTTTATTGTATAGTTCAACACGTTACACTTTATAAAATAACATGTTGCACTTTATAGAATAACATTCTGCACTTTATAAAACAACATGATGCACTTTATAGAACACCACGTTGCACTTTATCAAAACTTCATTCGTTTATTGTATAGTTCAACACGTTGCACTTTATAAAATAACTCATTGCACTTTATAGAATAACACTCTGCACTTTATTATATTATAAAAAAAAGATCGAAACAGACCAAACTCGAATTATTTCAACATCTTAAATAAAATTTTAATATGAATAATAAATTATTTTGATTATTTAAAGATGATTCGGTTAACCGGACCGACTAAATCAATAAAATATGTTCATTTTCTATTTAAGCTCGGATAAAATTTCAGTTGGTTCAATATGCACAATACAGACCGACAACGTGCACCGTAGTGCTGGACGAATTGCACCTTAATGTCTGTTAGATTGTACATTATATATCAGTTACATACATACCATTTTTTTAAATCAAGGAATAATATAAAATACCAAATAAATAAATAATAACACTAATTATGTTTTTTTTTATAATAAATAAAATAGTTTATATCGGTTATTTTGGTTGTCAAAACTAAAAATTTAAGTTCGAAATTTTCTTTGATTTTAATTAAATAACCAAAATACCCTAACAATCGAACTATATAAAAATTATTGTTATTATTATTATTATTATTATTATTATTATTATTATTTTTATTATTTTCAGCCACAAATATATAAATATTGAATATTAAATCAAAATATTATAATATTAATTATAGTTTTATCAATTACAAATTGGGCCCATGGCTTAAATGGTAATATATTAGAATTGTTAAAATTGCAAATAAGTCCCTCAAACTTGTCAAATTTTCAAAATAAACCCCTAAATTGAAATTGAAATCCCATTCTCTCCCGCAAGCCTGCACTCTTCTCGCCACCGCCGGCGATAAAACTCCCCGTCACCGGTGATGCGGCAGCGGTTCTCAAGGATCCCGACGCATCTCGTCTTCTCCGAGAAAGTTTCGTGTCTATTAGTTGCAGGCCACTTCGGTTCCGGCGGCAACCCGCCATGACGGGGCTGGTCGTAGTCGAGAGAGACGGCGGCGCTGCCACGGATGTGGGGCTGCTCCACAACAATACAGTCGAGGGAGGTCTCCATTGTACGAAACAACTTCCATGGCGGGCTGGTCGCTGTGTTGACGGCGGTGGGCGGAGGCTCGGGGGAGGTCGCCGTCGTACAAAGCAGCTCCCATGGCAGGCTAGTCGCAGTGTTGACGGCGGAGAGCGGAGGGGCAGGTTGCGGTCGGATTCAGGTGGCGGAGGCGGGTGGATTCCGGCGGTGCAAGGTTTGGTGACGGCGACTGTTAATCGGCGGGGGGAGGTGTGTGTTGTGTGTGAATGTGTGTGTCTGTACGTGTGAGAGAGACAGATGGGTGAGGTGGGCAGGTGAGAGAGTGTGGGTGTGGGTCCCGATATATTGACCATATGTAGGTGGGTAGTTGGCAGATTTAATTATTAATGTACAGTGGGGTCCACTTCTATGTGGTGCAATTACTGTCATACCCTTAATGAAAGTATAATTTTGAATTCTTTTTAGTCGTTGGATCATTCGATGCGACGACTATGATGTATTCTTATTTCTTTCGTTAACCATCATTCTCACCGGAGCGTGATCCTGTAAGGGATCATATGAGAATGACTATTAATGCGAGAAATAAGAATGAACCTGGATCATTGGATCCACTACTTCAATGGTCATGATGAAGTCAAAATTAACTCAAAATAGTCAATCATTAATGGCATTCTGTTAATTATTTGATCATAGCGGGTCAAATCTGTACATTTGACCAATAATTAAGGGTAAGTTGGTCAATACACATATATTTATGTGGGACCCACTCACCATTTAAATATATATTTCTCTCTCATTATTACATCATCTTCCTCCTCACGATTTTGCAACACACACACACACGCACGGCCTCCAGCCTCAGCCGTGCCTCCGCCGTGACTCCGCCACCAGCTGCTGCCAATCGCGATGCAGGAGATGAAGGTCGTGTATCCGCCGCCCGCCGCCAACCGCGACGCAGGAGATGACGGCCGTGTAACCGCCGCCCGCCGCCAACTGCGACGCAGGAGACAACGGCGTGCCTCCGTCGTGCATCGGCAACCAGTTTCGTCGGCATCTTCCCGCCGATATTCTCAGATCCGGTCGTCGTTGGCCGCATCGAGCTCATCTGAGGTGGTGCCGCTCCCGCATCCTCTCCCTCAGGAGGTGCCAGCGAGTGGACCTACGAGGCAGAAGCAGATTTCAGAGACAAGCACTTGTCGCCGGAATACACGGCGCCGCCGCCTTGGGTGATTGGGGACGTTTTAAGGTTTATGTGATTTGGGGCTGATCTCGGTCCACATCGTGGAGGCGGGGATGGCAGCAGTGGGCGCAGCCTGACGGTGAGTTTGTCGTCTGGCGGTGTTGGCAGGGAATGGATCTGAGAGGGGAAGCCATGGTTCTAGATGGTGTTTTTGGTATTGGGGTCTTGTTTTGGCAATTAGATAGGGTTAAAGGGCCAACTTGTAATTTGAACTTTTATTATAAGTATATTATAGTACTTGATGCAAATTTATAATTTAATGAAAGATTATTTCATGCACAATAATGACACATGGGATGCATAATATTGTGTATAGATGTGCATTTTAAAAAAAATTGTCATCTTTATATGAAACTAAAAAAATTTATTAAATACTCATATTTTTTTTATAAGTGAATTGCACAGTATTTTTTGTGTAGATATGTGATTTAAAATTACAGCATATAATCGAATCGAAATATAAAAGTTCAAATCGAAAAATTTTCTCTATTGTGTAATATGATAACCATTAGTGTGTAATTCGTCTAATGTTATTTAATATTATTGTGCATTTTATATATCAACACAATAATTATATATATGATCATATAAATTTGTGCACTTTATATATCAACACAATGCACTTTATAAAACAACACGATGCACTTTATAAAACACTACATTGCACTTTATCGAAACTACAACAGTTTGTTTATTGTATAATTCAACACGTTACACTTTATAAAATAACATGTTGCACTATATAGAATAGCACTCTGCACTTTATAAAACAACACGATGCACTTTATAAAACACCACGTTGGTTCAATATGCACAATACGCACAATACACACCACGTTGTTCATTTTCTAATTAAGCTCGGATAAAATTTCAGTTGGTTCAATATGCACAATACAGACCGACAACGTGCACCGTAGTGCTGGACGAATTGCACCTTAATGTCTGTTAGATTGTACATTATATATCAGTTACATACATACCATTTTTTTAGTCAAGGAATAATATAAAATACCAAATAAATAAATATTAACACTAATTATGTTTTTTAATAATAAATAAAATAGTTTATGTCGGTTGTTTTGGTTATTTATGATAATCGATGAATTAAACCGATTATGTCAAAACTAAAAATTTAAGTTCGAACTTTTCTTTGATTTTATTTAAAATAACCAAAATATCCTAACAATCGAACTATATAAAAATTATTATTATTATTATTATTATTATTATTATTATTATTATTATTATTATTATTATTATTATTGTTGTTGTTGTTGTTATTATTATTATTATCATCATTTGTATCGTTATTATTTTATATTATTTTCAGCCACAAATATATAAATATTGAATATTAAATCAAATATTATAATATTAATTATAGTTTTATCAATTACAAATTGGGCCCATGGCTTAAATGGCAATATATTAGAATTATTAAAATTGCAATAAGTCCCTCAAACTTGTCAAATTTTTAAAATAAACCCCTAAATTGAAATTGAAATCCCATTCTCTCCTGCAAGCTTGCACTCTTCTCACCACCGCCGGCGATATAACTCGCCGTCGCCGGTGATGCGGCAGCGGCTCTCAAGGAACCCGACGCATCTCGTCTTCTCCGAGGAAGCTTCGTGTCTATTAGTTGCAGGCCACTTCGGTTCCGGCGACAACCCGCCATGACGGGGCTAGTCATAGTCGAGAGAGAGGGCGGCGCTGCCACGGATGTGGGGCTGCTCCACAACAATACAGTCGAGGGAGGTCGCTGTTGTACGAAACAGCTTCCTTAGCGGGCTGGTCGCTGTGTTGACGGCGGAGGGTGGAGGCTCGGGGGAGGTCGCCGTCGTACGAAGCAGCTCCCTGGCGGGCTGGTCGTAGTGTTGACGGCGGAGAGCGGAGGGGCAGGTTGCGGTCGGATTCAGGTGGCGGAGGCAGGTGGATTCCGACGGTGGAGCGACGACGGTGCAAGGTTTGGTGCCGGCGACTGTTAATTGGCGGGGGGAGGTGTGTGTTGTGTGTGAATGTGTGTGTCTGTACGTGTGAGAGAGACAGATGGGTGAGGTGGGCAGGTGAGAGAGTGTGGGGTGTGGGTCCCACTATATTGACAATATGTAGGTGGGTAGTTGGCAGATTTAATTATTAATGTATAGTGGGGTCCACTTGTGTGTGGTGCAATTACTGCCATACCCTTAATAAAAGTATAATTTTGTATTTCTTTTAGTCGTCGGATCGAATTATGATGTATTCTTATTTCTTTCGTTAATATATATATATATATATTATACATTATTATTATGAGGTACATTTGTGCTTTTTGATTTATCTATAATTTTGGGAAAAGAAAAGAGGTAAAAGGTTATTGTATTTTATGAGAGCGAGACGGGGCATAAATAAACCTATTTTTTATTTGGAGAACCTTTAATGAAAAAATATAAATAAAAAACAAAGGGGTACAATGGATATTCAGGAGACATGAGATAGAAACCTCATATCATGTGCTCATTCCAATGATTTTTTATTAAAACAATGGATATATATATATGCTAGTGTCTGCACGTGAACAATCAAACAAATTTTGGCGGAGCTAAAAAGAGTCCCCTTCTTTATGTTGATCCGTTACAACCACTGATTTCCAGCACCTCATGATTAATAAAATAGTGGGAAAAAAATCACAGGTTCAAAGCTGCTTCAGTTGAGACTGTTGAGTAGTTATTTGTTGCTACTACATTCCAGAGGAAGCCAAAAAGAAAGGGCCGTACTGTAATTTAAAAAGAAAGAAAGAGTTTCTTCAATGAAGAAACAAGGCTGTGAGATTGAGGCCATTGGCATCAACTACACAATCTACACCCACAAAAAGGGCCCAATCCTCAGTACCCAAAAGACCCGGCCCGCAGCCCGCCATGTCCTCAACAACGTCAGCCTCACCGCCAAACCCTGGGAAATCCTCGCCATCGTCGGTCCAAGCGGCGCCGGCAAATCCTCCCTCCTCGAAATCCTCGCCGGTAAAATCCACCCTCAGTCCGCCCGCATCTACGTCAACGGCCAGCCCGTGGACAAGGCCCGCTTCAAGAAGCTCTCGGGCTACGTCACCCAGAGGGACACCCTTTTCCCTCTCCTCACCGTCGAGGAGACCCTCAGATTCAGCGCCCGCCTACGCCTCGGCCTATCCGAGCCCGAGCTAACCTCACGCGTCAAATCCCTGATGCAGGAGCTCGGCTTGTGCCACGTGGCCGCGGCCCGCGTCGGCGACGACCGGGCCCGCGGGATCTCCGGCGGCGAGCGGCGGCGCGTCTCGATCGGCGTGGAAGTGATCCACGAGCCGGAGGTTCTGATTCTCGACGAGCCCACCTCCGGGCTCGACAGCTGCTCTGCTCTCCAGATTCTCGACCTGCTCAAGGCCATGGCCGAGACCCGTGGCAGAACCGTAATCCTAAGCATCCACCAGCCCGGCTTCCGAATCGTGAAGCTGTTCGGCTCCATTCTTTTGCTCGCAAATGGTTCGGTTATCCACCACGGCCCCATCGACTTGCTCTCTGTCAACTTGGCGCTGATGGGCCTCCACCTTCCAATCCACGTCAACGTGGTCGAATTTGCTATCGAGTCGATTGACACCATCCAGTGCCGGAAAATGACTTCGGGCCGTGAAACGGCCCAGAAAGAATCAGAGGATGGCCCGAGTAAAACGGGCCGATCCACCTTGCAGCAGCTTTTCCAGCAGTCCAAGGTAGTGGACGAGGGGCATTTTGGTCCGGGCCTAGATTTTCACCACGGGTTCGCCAACTCGCTGGCCCGCGAGACAGCTGTCCTGACCCACCGATTTGGGAAGAACATCTATCGGACGAGAGAGCTGTTCGCGTGCAGGTCGGTTTCGATGCTTGCGTCTGGGCTTGCTCTAGGCTCGATTTTCTACAATCTTGAGGACAATTTGCTAGGGGCGGCCGAGCGTGTTGGGCTTTTCGCGTTCATACTGACGTTCTTGCTGTCGAGCACGACTGAGGCCCTCCCGATTTTCTTGCAAGAAAGGGAGATATTGATGCGGGAGACGTCTAGTGGGAGCTACAGGGTGTCTTCGTATGCGATCGCAAACGGACTTGTCTATGTGCCGTTTTTGCTCTTTCAAGCGATTTTGTTTTCAGTGCCCGTTTATTGGTTGGTGGGGTTGAACCGCGATTTTATGGCTTTCGCGCGTTTCTTGGTGTTGATTTGGTTGATTTTGTACACGGCGAATTCGGTAGTGGTTTGTTTTAGTGCTTTGGTCCCCAACTTCATTGTCGGTAATTCGGTGATATCGGCAGTCATGGGGTCCTTTTTCTTGTTCTCGGGCTACTTTATTTCAAACCATGGGATTCCGAGGTATTGGAAGTTCATGCACTACATATCGTTGTTTAAGTACCCGTTTGAAGGGTTGTTGGTTAATGAGTTCTCGGGCTCGAGCAAGTGTTTGGATTACATGTTTGGGACGTGCGTGGTGAGAGGGGAGGACGTGTTGAGGGAAGAAGGGTATGGTGGGAAAGAGAGCGGGTGGAGGAATTATGTGATCATCGCATCTTTCATTTTGTTTTACAGGTTTATTTCATATGTCATTCTCAGGTATAAATGTTCCCAGTCGGGGATGAAGGGGTTTTTCATATGAAGTTCATACTTGGTAAAACTGTTTGCTAAAATATTGGGCATAACATGTCCATTATTCTATTCTATTGTTGCTTCTTTTCTTTTGCTCTCTTTCTTATTTTGTCCATATATCCTTTTTTATTTTTTCGTCTTGGGTGTTCTGAACCATGTATTGATCAGTTTTAATGTTTCCCACGCTACCTAACGATTGACAAGAGACCAAAAATCTCAGGCTGTAAAACCACGAGCAATTTTATATATAAATATGTGTGGTCATGTTTTTTTCTATTTTCATTTTGCTTTGTATGCCGGGTCGGCCTGGGGGTAGGGTGGGCCGAGTAACCGCCCAGGGCCCTATTACCTAAGCCCTACTATTATATAAATT